TGGCATAAAGCATAACAGCAATGGCATCAGGAGGCTGGACTCTCTCACTAGTCTGGTCTTCTAGCAGTATCACCCAAGATCAAGCTGTGAGTACTAGTCCCATCAGCAGAATAGAATAGATATCTTACTGATGATAGGGGCAAAGAAAATCCTGAAGATAGTTTATTGGGCAGCAGCAGTAGCTGAAGGTGATACTGGCAGAGGATTTTCACTGACAGTGGCAGTGATGCAACCTTTCAGTGTAGAAACAAAAAGAACTATTCCAATGGTCAGTGCAAAGAAATAGAAGAGAACAACAAAAGTAGAAAAAACAAGAGACCTTTCCTGGAAGATCCAAGAAATCAAAGAGAAATTCAAACCTAGATTAGGATTGCTAAAGACCATCAGGGGACCGTGCTATCTGACCTGGATAATGTGAAGAGATGGTGGAAAGAATATACAGAAGAACTGTACAGAAGAGGTAACAAGATGGCAGAATATTTTGAAGAAGAATCCTATGAGGAAGAAGCTGTAATTTTAGAAAGTAATGTGAAAGCTGCTTTGAAAACTTGCTGTTAGTCGCGAAGTTGTGTCCGACCCATCGCAACCCCATGGACATCATTCCTCCAGGCCTTCCAGTCTTCCATCATCCCCCGGAGTCCATCCAAGCTCACGCCCACTGTTTCAGTGACTCCATCTAGCCACCTCATTCTCTGCTGTCCCCTTCTTCATTTGCCGTCAATTGTTCCCAGCATTAGGATCTTCTCAAGTGAGTCCTTCCTTCTCATTGAGTGGCCAAAGTATTTGAGTTTCATCTTCACTATCTGGCCTTCTAAAGAGCAGTCAGGGTTGATCTCCTCTAGGACTGACTTGATTGCCTTGCAATCCAAAGGACTTGCAGTAGTCTTCTCCAGCACCACAATTCAAATGCTTCAATTCTTCGTCGCTCAGCCTTCCTTATGGTCCAACTTTCACAGCCATACATTGCAACTGGGAAGACCATAGCCTTGACTATATACATTTTGTCAGCAGGGTGATGTCTCTACTTTTTAGTATGCTGTCTAGATTTGCCATGGCTTTCCTCCCAAGGAGTTTTGAAAACTGGAGTGCACCAAAGAATTCAGAAGAGCAGTCTATGCTTGATACATTACAGCAAAGCCTTTGACTACTAAGATCACAAGATCACAAGAAGTTATGGATGGTTCTGAAGGAACTGTGTGCACCTCAGCAGTTGATTGTCCCAATGTGTAACCTGTATTGTGAAAAGAAGCTTACTTTTAGGACAGAATATGAAGAAATGGAATAGTTTCCTGCAGGCAAAAGTGTTGGGCAACAGCATATTTTATCTCCCTATCTGTTCAATCTATATGCAGATAAGGAAAGCTGGATTAGGATCAGAGGAAGGAGGAGTATAAATTGGTGGAAGATATATCAGTAACTGAAGATAAGTGAATGATGCCATGTTACTAGCAGAAAGGAACCAGGAATTGAAATGACTTCTGTCCATGGGATTTTTCAGATTTTTATCTAAAAAGTTGAAAAATCAGCCCTGTTTCCTTGCAGTCAGTGTGGAAAACAAGAACAATGAACAATGATGGAGCTTTTGGAGGTGTTCTGAGGGACAGGGAGGAAAGGAGACAGGTGCCACCAAGATACAAGGTTGTCTAAGTGCCTTGCAGGAGGGAAGGATCACGGAGGAGCCCTTCTCCTTCATGCTGTTCCCATCCTCCATAGGATGCCAGATGTGGAAAGCTGCAGGCAACCATAGAGATCAGATTAGTGAGCAAGTCTGGCCTCTTGATGTCATTGTTCTTTGCTTTTCTGACACTAACACCTCTTCACCACATGCAAGTGTGTGTCCATGAGGGGATCATGCCATATAGCAAATTTTGAATTTTCAGTCTTGGGCAGTGTGGTTAATTACTGAGAGTAATGAGCCAGCATTTTAAAAGATGGCGCAGAAATGGAATTACAAGGCCCATTGAATCATAACTGCCACAGAAGATCCCATTTTGGAACATTTGTGGTGGTGCATCAATTACAGTAGGCAATATGATGGTGTCCTGCCATGACCATCTGCCATTAACCATCTGCATGGATCTGGTGTACCTTGTCCTCAGCACTGTGTTGAATTGCCTTTAGCTTTTCAAATAAATATGAAACTACTTTATATATGTTTGTTACTCCTGCGTGAATAAACCCTTTAGCAGATATACAGGACTTATTCTGTGGTAATATTTCCTTCAAGATGTTCCCTGAATGACTTATGGTGAATCCTGTAATCAATCTTTCTACCTGAACTTTCTCATTTCCACATTTCTCTAACATTGCTGTATTAGAGAGTCCATGTATTTCCTTATCTCTTATGCCAGCAATCTCAGCTCTAATATTGCTTTCCCTTGTCAAATCCTGCCAGTTCTTCATTTCCAAGGAATGGTCTATATCCCTGCTCACACACACTCCCTCACCCCTCCCCACTCAACACACACACACACACACACACCATCCCTTATCTGTCCCTGTTTCTCCTAAAATATTTGTCCATGGTGTGGCCATCTTTAGTTTTAATCCTGTGGTCTCTCTTGCTATTCTTATTTTTTTCAAAATTTGTATTTCCATATTTTCATTAGGATCATGTTGACCTTTCCATAAACCTCTCACAGGTTCTAAATCATTTCACTACAGTGGGGTGTATTCACAATACTATTTTACACTGGATGTTTCTGTCATATTAAAAAAAGTTATAAAATGTTTCTGCTTGTATTTGTCTCATTTGAGTGCTTGTCAAGCAATTTGGTTTGGCTTGATCTTTAATTTAGAATTATGTGCATGGAATCAGATGTCGAAAATCAAGTATTGTGTGGTCAATTAGTACTGCTCAGCAGAATGAGTTGGATCCAGACTTAGTCATGCTTAAAAGCTATCCAGTGAAATCAGTTGAACTTAAGATAATTATGACAGCATAAGACACATGGATTGCAGTGGCTCTACTCTAGGGATAAGGCTGAATCCAATCCAGTGTACATTTCTACGTATTTCATTTTCAATATATTCAAACCACAATTTTGACTGAAAAAGGTTGTCTTTATTTATTTTATTACAAACATTTATATCCTGTCCTTCCGACAAGTGCTCAGGATGACTTACATAATGTAAAATTACAATCATACAATAATAGAACCACAATTATTAAAACAATGTAAAACAGGACATCATAAACTAAGAGAAAAGAAAAGGGAGGAAGAGAATAGAAAATGCGACTGTGGGGAAGGGAGAAAAATATTAAAAATCTAAAACCCTTGATTATTAAAATGGTGGTTGAATAAAAAGGTCTTTACCTGACGCCAGAAGGAGTATGATGTCGGCGCCAGGCAGACCGCTCTGGGGAGTGCATCCCAGTTTGGGTGCCATTGTAGAATGAAAGAACATCCTGACCTGAGCATCTTATACTGCATTAACATAATAACATGTAATTTACAGTCAATATTTGATCCTGATATTACAAACTTAGCTTTGGAGTTTAAAAAAAGAAAAGACAGTCTACTAACAAATGTGTCCATGAAGCTGGATTGGAAACATTGTAGAAGGGTGGGGTGGGGTGGGGTGGGGTGGGGTGGGATGAGAGGACCATTTTACTTTTCTTCCTAGCCTTGTCCCTTTCCTGTTTTGTCCATATGCCGAGAGGCAGCAGTATTCGTTCTTTTGAAAGTTATGGTGCAACGGGATATTGGGCTCCTAATTTTCCTTATTCCCTATTGATATATCATTACCAGAATGAGAAAGGATGTCTCAAGAGCTTTTTTTTTTTTTTTTGGGGGGGAGGGGAAAAAACAAAACAAAACAGAGACTACTCAAGACATTTATAAAGGAGGAAGAATGGGACAGATAATAGAGCTCAGTTAGGGGTAGAAATTTTCTGAATGCATGCCTTGTCCGCCTTTTCTTTTGCTTGAAACCCAGAGCTGTTGTTCCTATTTCAGTTCAAACTGTCACCTTTAGCTCTTGATGGCTTTACTGCCCTTGCTGCTGAACCTCAACAGATTGGGGCTTATTTACCCATTCACACTGCACTGTGGAACCTCATTAATAGGCTTCTTAGCCACACCATTCACGTGCGGCAGAATTGACAAAAAGGATTCTAGCCACTTTCAGAAGATGAGGGAAAGATGATGATAATTTCCCCCACTCCTTGCAACCCCATAAAGAGATTATTCTTTCATTCAGCTGCCTAACTAGTGTGAAAGGCTTCCTAAGATTGCTTGAAGCTTAAATATGATGACAGCATTGATTTTTTTTAAATGCCAAACATATTTCTGCTTTTCTTCAACTGAGTGGGTTGTTGTGGCCAAGCTTGAAAATTGGCGCATTTAAATGAATAGGGTGCCATTGATTGTTTTCTTTTCATCACCCCAAAGAATAAATTTGAAAACTGCTTCCAGACATAAGGGGAAGAAAAAAGTGTCTATTTTGTCATCTCTGGTGTAACGTTTTTCTTTTTAGAGGAGGCAATGTTCCCTTTGAATGGAGAAAAGATATTGCTGCTTCCTGTGCTTACCAGTAATTTATGTGAGAATGTGTTAACAGTGTTTCCAAGGGACGAGAGACACATTGGAAGTTGTGAAATCTGTATCTTGCTTTTGACATGTCAATGTCTGAATTAGAAAATTCCGATTTTATACTAAGATGTACTTTGATTGAAAAACAAGGAAATAAGTAGCAAATAGAAAAGCAAATAAGTGAGTCTTCTGCCACACTGCACATAATTTGTATGAACCAGAACTGAAAGCTTGTAAGAGACGAAAGTGAATGGGATGCTGAAAAGAAATTTGGGATATTGGCAAGAATGTGAAAACAGGGAGCTAGAAAGTCTTGGTCATATGGCATTTAATAGGAATTTGCATGGCTTTAATAAAATTGAAAGATAACTAATTTTGTTGCAAATTCTTCACATTTATCTATCAGCATTGCAGGCATGATAGACAATATGCAATTATATTAACTATAGCAGTATAATAGATTGAGATTTTAGGAGTTTAAATTTTATTTCACTTTAATAGAGTCACCTATGCGCTTTACTTTCAGCATTCACATTCTTAAAAGTGGCAGTTTAAATTTTTGTGGAACTCAAAGGTTAGTCTTAATACAACATTTATTTCTAGTTATTGCAACTTAATGCAATTTGTGCTTTGTTTGGAATGCTACAAATTCCTTTATGAAAGTATCACTTCTAAAGTTGTTTAACTTATATTGTGGATAGTAAATTGTGCTATTTTTGTCTTTGTTTTGGTTTCTTGACCCAAGTGCAAGATTTCTTTTGATAATGTCAGGCCTACTAAGAACAAAGTAAAAGTGTGCATATAGTATACTGGGCAGTCTCCACATCCCTCTCCATCTGTATGGGACCGCATGCATTTACACAAGAGTAAGAAAAATGTAAGTCTCGGGCAAATGGTTTGGTCCTGTATTCTATAAATTTCACAGCCATTTTGTTTTGATGTTAGGAAGATAGTTTCCCTCTTACATTTGATAAGGGTTAATGCCAATTCCAAATTTTACTGCAGCAGCAAGGTGGTCTCTAACTTGTGATTATTTTCCTCACACTGCTTTAGTAAAGTTTGAAGGTATGAACCCTGTGAGATAATATGGTTCTTTCCAGCCCCAAACGTCATGAAGTTCGGTGGTCAGTGTTCATGTGGAAATGAACCATATCATTAGTTCAGCCTTTATAGTTACTACATCCAAACCAGATGGGCAGAAATTGAGAATTAATACCTCTGACTTCACAGTCATGTATGAACCAGTTTTGTATTATCCACATTAGACAACTGTCTTTGATCCCCATCTAAGTCTTTGTCAAGTGTGAAATGTAACATCACAGCTTTTGTTTGCTTTCAGGAAAAAAAAATCTCCAAGTAAACTTAGCTGAAGCTAGAAGGTTTCCTTGCTTGGGAACATCTTGCTTAACACCTTTGTATATGCCAGTTGACACTGCAGGAGAAAGAGAGGGGCTTTCTTTGACTTCTGACTGACAGTAACCATGCCTACCTGTTCATGGATTACTATGTGAGTGGGTGTTTGAACTATGGTAACTAAGCTTCTTGTCCTGACATTGAATAAGGGAATGATGACTTGCTAGTCTGGATTTGTTTTTATACCCTTGATCATAATCCCGTTCTGTTTTTCCTGAATAAAGTTTCAACCGTTATGGCATCTTAGGGTTAGGGATGGTGCATTCAGGCAACACGCACTGTTGGCCCTGCACCACACATAGGGCTTTGTAGCAAGGGAAAAAAAGTCAGTTTTAGTCTCATCAGATCAGAGAACCTTTCCATATGTTTGCTATGCCTTCCATGTGTCTTTTTGCAAACTCCAGATGGGCTTTTCAATGGGCTTGTTTCAACTATAGCTTTCTTCTTGCTACTCTTCCATAAAGCCCAGCTTTGTGGAGTGTCCAGGTGAGGGTTGTCCCATGAATGGTTTCTCTCATCTCAGTTGCAGATTTGTCTGGGTTCTTCAGAGTTACCACTGACCTCTTGATTGCTTCTCTGATTTATGACCTCCTTACCCAGTCACAGAGTTTTGACGGATGGCCTTCTAAAGGCAGAGTTGTAGTTAAGCTATATTATCTCTGTAAAGGATTTAATTGTACTCTGGAAGAATGTTCATGGTTTGGGGTATTTTTTTTTAAAAAACCTCAGTCCTGATTGGTGCTTCTGCACAACTTTATCCCAGAATTGTTTTGATAGTTCCTTGGTCTTCATGATGCTGTTTGTTTAGTTATGGTCTCAAACAAACTTTGGGACCTTCCAGAAACAGCTGTATTCAATCTGAGATCAAGTGGCACTGGAATTACACACAAGTGGACTCCACTCAGCTACTTGCAGTATGTGGTTTCTGGAGGCAGTGGGTTATATCAGACCTTAGTTAAGCATTTCACAGGAAAGAAGGCAAATACTTAGACCATCAACAATTGCCAGTTTAGTTTTGCTTATGTAACATTTGTGCCACAATAAACAATATTTTCCACCTTCTCAGCACTGAATGCATTTTGTGAATATCAAATGGTAACAGTGCTAATTAAGTCCATATCAGTTCCAGGTTGATACAGAAGCCAATGTGAAGGGGACAGGAAAACTTCTGCCAGGTACTGATGATGCTTCTTCGAGAATATTCTTCAGGACAAATTGTCTGTCAATAAACATTTTAAAAGGAAATAAATGCAAAAAATGTAAGTGCAACCCAGGGGAGGGAGATAATATCTCCTTTTTGGCAATGTCATCCTCCTGCTTTTAAGTGTTGAACTAACAACACTTGTCAGTGTCCTCTTTCTGTTTCAGTACTTAATTGAGTCTCCAGCAAGAGAAATTATTGTCTCTCCTCTCCTTCTTAGAGCAGTTACTGCTGCTGTGCAAATTTCCACTTTGTATACTCTCCAGCCAGGCTCTAAAATTGCACAAATTTCCCTTCCATTTATTTCCTTAAGTTTGCTTTGTGCAAATTTAGAAGCTGGGCTATAAATGGAGAATGCCGTGCAGCAGCAGTAACTGCTGTGAGAAGGAGCTTAGAGCAGAGGCTGATACTGCCAGTTCAACATTTGATAGTGAGAAGATTAAATTGTCAAGTGGGAGATATTGTCTTATGTCTCCTTCCACGTACTCCCCCCCCCACCCCCGCCGCTGCTTATTCTGGGCTTGTTGGCAGCTGAAACAGACAAGAAAATTGACAAGGCAAGACTTGGCACATCAGAAAGCCTAGTCTGTATTCTAGGGCACTTGGGAAGTACTGGGTTTTTTAAAAAAAGTTACAGTCCCATCTGCTGAATCCTGAAGCACTTTCCCCCCTTATAAATTAGTGAATAAAGCAATGCTTTGTAGAGGGGTGGTAGTCACAGTGAGAAGGGGTCCAGAATGAGGAAACAAAATGGGTTGTGCCACCAAGGCACCTATGATTTGAGGTGCCCTAAGGCACGTGCACCAGAGCAGTTGGCGGGACTGCTTGGGAATGAGGAGAAGCCTTGGCAAACCCAGTGGTGTGTCAGGAATGTGGTGGGTTATTCAGTGAACAGCAACCAGCCCGCGGCAGCTTATTCACTGAGTGGCTTACTGTGACATCTGAACTGTCCAATGCGTGAGAGGTATAATGGCACAGGTATTTCAGTCTGTGGCGTCAGTCTCATCCTCACTATAACAACCCTGTGAGGTAGGTTGGCTGAGAGTCCAGGACTGGCCCAAAGTCACCCAGAGAATTCTGTGACTAAAACTCAGATCTCACGAGTCCAAGTCCTGCACAGTTAACCACTATACCACACTGGTTCTCTGTGTAACAACATAGTACAAAATAAAAAGAACCAACTATGAGGGCTCCATTTTATTAATGCTGCAAACAGATACTTTGAAACATGATTAGAACTACCTTAACCTATGGAGTATTTGCTGCTGGATCCCAGGCAATGCAGAACAGGTATGTTGCACTGATTTGGAAAAAGCTAATGCATATGCTACTTGGTGCTTGGATCAGGGCAAATTTGGCTCCTTTTAAACTGCTTTAGCAGAGCACTTGAGAAATGATATGCTAACATAAAGGACAGTGATCTGTCTCTGAACTCTCTATGTTAAATGTTCAAGCAAACAAAATTGAGCCTGATATTCAATTATTCTGGCCAAAAAAAAAAAAAAATTCACAAAAATTTAAATTTACTTTCTAGTTAGATTTTTGAATCTTGGTCCTTAAAATATATGATTTTAAGTACTCCATTACACTTGTATCTGCGTCTATGAGGATTAGATGTAAAATGACAGATCTGAAATCTTTGCAATATTATTCAATAAAGATTTAAGTAAATACTGTAAATACAAACAAATATGTGCTTCTGCCTTTACCTCATAAATGCAAACTATCTCTAGCCTTTGCTCATGTAGAAATGGTAAATTCAGTGAGACAGTCACTGCATAGGAAGGAGTGCTTTATCCTTTGTGAATCAAGAAAAGAAATCACTTTCTAACCATGCAATGCATGGAAGCAGCACCCATCTCCTCCCCTCCTGTAGAACACCCTTCTCGAGTCAGTTTTGCAACTTTGGGGATGCATTTGGTGCCGTTTGTTTGTTTGTTTCCTGCATTGGCTGTGAGGTGATGGAGGGCATTCATCCCCAGTGCCGAGTCTCCACTCTGGCATTAAAGCTCTTTTCTGACATTGGAACTGGGACTCCAAAAAGTCCTATGGGGCTCTAGATGTTCTGTAGGGACCATGTGTCACTCTGCTTGTGTCCCATCAACAGTATGGTAGATTTGACCATGTCATTTGTTTCTTATTTCTCTTCAGTTAAATGCATCTGCTTAGCCTTTTTTGTTTGTTCTTGCATAATAAATCTGTTTTCTTTCAAAACGGTTTCCCTGTGTTACTCTAAACTCTGTTTATTGTATATGCAAACACCTTTGATTGTTTTTTTTCTTTGGTCTTGGTATTTCCTTGCCATTTGAACAGTTTGCCTTTCTGGATATAAGCAATCATAACTGTATCGGCTTATTGTACAAAGTTTCTATATACTAATATTTATTTTGGATTACAGCACTCCTCTTCCTCCTCCTCCTCGGTTTGACATTTATTTTAGAAATGCCTCTTATTTTTGTCTCTTTCTTGTTTCCTTTGATATACATCATTTTCTTATTTATCCCGTTTAATTTTGCTCTCCCCCCTTCCATCTCTCTCTCTCTCTCTCTACACACCCACCCACCCACACACACACACACCCCCTTATGAACTTCAACAGGTATGAGCAACTGAGGCCCTCAAGTTATTTTGACTTACAACTGCCACCATCCCTAGCCAGCAGTGAGGAATGATGGGAGTTGTAGGCCAAAACATCTGGAGTAGCATCCACCCCGGTGTTACTGGATGAGTTATTTCATTGTTTTGGCTTTTGGCCCTGCTCAGTCTCAGAATTTCATCACTGATTCAGTCCGTAACTCTTGTTCCTCTCACATTCTACAACAATTCTGAACTGTTGCATTGTTCAGACCATCTGTGTTTTCCTAATCTAATCACTGCATACTAGCTACCAATATTCTTCCCTCTCTTACTGTTTCAAAGATGTTGACAATTTCTAGCATTCTTTTCCTGTGAGAGGATCATGCTCATATGCAACCTTTGTTGGAAAGATTTAGTAATAGTAATAATAATATCCTGTTTTTCATACCCGGTGAGATCCAAGCATATGGAAGAAAAGCCTCCTTGGTTCTCACCACCAGTGTGACCTACTGCTATTGCTCCTCTTCTTCTCTCTCATCATGATGACTACTCGCTTGACAGTCAGAGAGCCAGTGAGCAGGCAGGTAGTCACCTTCATTTCCCACCACCCCATCACTGTCTGGAGGTGGGTGGGGGGTGGGGGGAGGGAGAGAGAGGTGATCAAATGGCTGAAGAGCAGCAGGACTCTTAGCAGGGGGTCCACTGAACAGAGCTCTCTGTTAGCAGCCTCTGGCATGCCCACCCTAGCTGCTGGCCTTGCTTATTCCTTTGGCTGGAACTGGTCCTGCTGGATTGTCCCTCTGGTTAGCACTTGTCCACCAAGTCGGCTGGTGAAGGAAATAGAGAGTTTGGGGTTTAGTTACAGTGTGACTAATGCCAGCTTTGTGAATGTAAATGAAGGCAAATGACTCTGCAAGATCTTAGGGTTACTCACTGCACATAATTGGATCATTCCAAACTAGGCCTGTTGTAGTCTGGCAGGTTGTGGAATCTTAGCTTCAATTCAGTACTGAATTGGGGGTACTTTAAACCAACTGGTTTTCATGGGTTCAAGCTCACCAACTTTATTCTGGATTGCTTTATATTTAATTTCATAGGTAGTAAGAATGGATTAATATGAAATGGTTTTTTTCTGTTTTATTTAATATTATTTCTGTACTGCCCAATAGCCAAAGCATTTTGGGGCAATTTAGAACAGCACATAAACTACAAATAAAAATGCAGTATAAAATACAGATAATAAAAATAATTAAAATTACTACATGTTTTAATAGATGTATTTACAAGTGAAATAGCTAACACAAATTAAAAAGCAAAGCCTGTTCAATGGCTGACATTGCATACAATGTGTTTTTTAGAGCTGATTTAGAGAGCACAATCTTAACATGGTACTGAAAAGACAACAAAGTCGCCCTCTACAGACCTCAGTGAGGATCTTGTTCCATAACCAGAACTGGGAAAGTTCTTCTTGTTGCCAACAACTGAACCTGCCCTGGAGGTGGCAATCAAAGACAGACCTGCATCTTGATTGTAGTGTTGGGGTAGATTCCAGCTGGGAGAGGCATATCAAATTTTGTGTTTCCAAGCCTTGCAATGATTTATACATTAACATCAACACCTTAAATTGGGCTTGGAAGAAACGGGCAAGTGCACCAGAATTGGTGTTTTATGTTTGGCCCTTCTTGTCCTGGTAATTAATTTACTACCACATTTTGCACAAGTGAACAACCTTCAGAAGCAGCCCCACAGAGTACATTGTAGTAATTTAGTTTAGTGACCACCAGAGTTTAGATAATTGAAACCAGGCCATCCCTGTCCAGATATGTGCACAGCTGGGCCAGCTAGTAGAAGGGACTCCATGCTCCTGAAGCTACCAGAGCCTCAAGTGACAAAGATGGCTCAAGGAGTACTCCCAAGCTGCGAACCTGCTCCTTTAAATCCTGCCCATATCAGGCTGAATACCCTCCATCTGGTCAGATAAATTATCAGCTGAACAGTATCTCAGTCTTGTCCAGATTCAGATTGTGCCCCCTTGTCCAGTCCATTGCCTCATCCAACTATCAGTTTAGCATATCCAGAGCCTCCCTTGATGAACATGGAATGAAATTTAATGACAACACATTCCAACGCTCTGGACGACCCCACTCAGCCAAGAGGAACAAGGCTGACCCTTAAGGAACCCCGTGCTGGAAAGTCCGAGAAGTTAAGCAGTACCTTCCAAACTTCTGGAGCTGACCAAGCAAGTAGGAGTGCAATCACTGCAGTGCAGTACCCTTCACTCAAATGCAGATAGCTGCCCAAGAAGGATACCATAGTTAATGGTTGTAAAAGCCACTGAAAAATCCAAGAACATTTAAATGGCTACATGCCCTGTCTCTCTCCTGACACAGGTTTTATAAAGGCTGACCAAAGCTATTTCTGTACCAAAACCCCAAATGAAATGGATCAAGATAATCATTCTCATCCAAGAGCTTCTGGAGCTGGTTGGCCACTACCTGTTCAAGAACCCTGTCCAGGGAAGGAATATTTGCCATTCAGGTCAGAATATAGTTCAGCTGAAAGAGGTGGCACTGGATCAAGAAGTGTGGTGAAATTCGGCCCATAGGATTGCTTATAGTTGGACACAACTGAACAGCTGAACAACATTATTAAGATCTTCTGGACTCATTGGGGATTTCTTCAGGCATGACCTCACCACTGTATGTTTCAGGTGGCATGGGACCACTCTCTCTCATTAAAAGATATTGATCAGCTTCCTGGACTAGCCTGTGTATGAACCTGTCCAAGCACCTTATCTACATCGTCAAGCTGTACCAACTAGAACTCATCTTTAAAAACTCGATCAGGCTGTACGTTGGGTACCTCACTAGATCTGGAGTCTAAGTACTGGAAGATGCAAGAGATTTTATCCTGGACATGCCTAGCAAATACATTATACTTGACCTCAGCCAGGTCTAAGATGCCTTTGGAGTCAGCATGCAATGAGCCCTGAAAAACTCTGTTGGGTGGCCAAGAGAAGGCTAAATCAAGGCAGTTGGATATTAAAATATTATACATATTTTGCCTTAAGTATACCTTATTGGAAGCACATACCAGGTCTTGACTGCATCCACCAGGAGTTTTTTTTTTATCACCTTCAGTCAAGCCATATTCTCAGCTCTAGGGTATACAACAGTGCCATATGAGCTATACTATAGAGAGGGTGGTCAGGGGCAATTATGTCAGCTACCTAGGTCATCTCTCTAGTCCAGAGATCAACCATGGATTTGAAAGGACTTCCTGCCAGAAAACCCCTGGAAAGCCACCTGGATCCATCAAGCCCCTGGGTGAAGACTATTTTAACAGGTGGCCCACCCCATAGGATGGAAAAGTTGCCAATAGTCTCTCAGCAGGCACTGATCTGACCACGACAAATAAACTAATTCAATGTCCCTTAACTTCTGATCACTGTCCCCATGCCTGATGGACAAAACCAAATCCACGGTGTGCCCTGCTACATGCGATGGGCTGATGACATACTGGGACTCTCCCATGAGGTCTAAATCCTGAGTCACCCAGATAGGGTACACTTGGCATCTCTGTTAATATCCCCTGGGATCCCAGCACCACAACTGAGCTGCAGGGTGGACAGTGCACCAGCAGAACCCCCAACTTGTCCCACTAGGCCAACACAAGATGCCAACAGTCTAGGAGTGAGTCAGAAGAAAGCCTGGAAGGGGGGGGGGGGGAGGATTCCTAGTGACCATGGCAGCCCTACCTGTAGTCTATCTTGATGCAGTACTAAGTACTGTTCTGAGAATAACAGGGAAAGTCTAACACTTTGCAAGTAGCACTGAAATGAACAAAAACTCTTCATTCCAATCCACAGTTGAGCATGGTAAGTTTTTGTGTCCTTTGTACATACTCCCATCTGAGTGTGAGTATTTCAGCTGAACTGAAGACAGACCTTAACTGCTTTCTCTCTTACCAAGAAACCTCCTACTTTTCACTGAATAACTTGACCTTTTGGTTTTCACCACACCAATATAAAATATCTATAATAGCATTCAACCAATCTGGTGTCTTCCAGATGCTTTGGGTGACTACTCCCAGAATTCCTGCCTATTAGCCATATTGGTTGGAACTGACGGGAGTTCCCACCATATTACATTTCCAAAAGGTGAAGTATCATCTCATCCCATAGGAACTCGACAGAGTGATGTACGGAACAGCTCCGTCTTTGTTTCTTGAGTGTTTGCTTTTCAGGAGGTGATCCTGCTCCACACTACCTTCGGGGACACCCGTCAGCAGAAATTCCAGTGGGCAAACAGGAAACACTTAAGCTCCTGAACCACAATCGTTTGGTTTTCACATTGTTTCCAAATTACAGTCAAGGCTCTGGCAATCAGTAATATATTGCTGCATTCCATTTTTGTTTTTGCTTCTGAGTTGTGTGAGAAACACGGAAGAGATACTTTCCGCGTTTTTGCTTTTCGGCCTGTTGGCGTGTGGTGCCGCTTGGAGGCGTTTCCCCCCCTTGAGTGCTTCTACGAGCTTGCGGGAGAGAGAGAGAGAGTCCTATTCTTAATGCATCTCGATTGCAAGGGGAAGAGCCTGCACGGAGTTCAACTATTGCTGAACCGCTGTGATTGGCAGAGGAACTGTCCAGGAAATGGCTCGGATTTCAATTTTGGAGGAGTGACTAGGGAAAGGAGGGGGAGGGAGAGGGAGAGAGAGAGGTTGTAGAGTTGATAAAGCTTTAGAGTTGGGTTGCAACAGGGATTCTGAATGGACTAGATCTGGACTGAAGACATCTGTTTTATGTTCTGTTTCTTTTTTAAAGATAAAACTTTTGGAAGTTCTTGCTTTCCCTAAAGTTGGATTCTTAGTGAACTGGGCGGAAAAAGTTTGTGACACACTGATTTTCGTCCTTAAAAAAAAAACAAACCAAAAAAACCAAAAACATTTACTTGTTTAATTTTTTAAAAGAATCCCTTCGAGCACACTCACCTCCGTTCTTCGGGGTGAGAAGAAGCTGTTGAGCCGGCGGAGATGGGGGTGACACTCCCCGAATTCCCCCGCCCGGGTTTGGGGCTTCGGACCGATGGTTTTGAGCGCCTGAACGCGGAATAAAGCAGGAAACGATTGCTGTGTATTTGCAAAGGGGGTTCTCCCCCACCGCGCCGCTTCTCCGCCCCCCTCCGGGGAGCCTGCCTTCGTCGCTTTGCTTCATCCCGTACACACGCCTGCTGCAAGGGAACAGCAGATCGCTTACGCGGAGCCTTTTCATACAAGGTAATTGGACCAGGCTTGGCTTGCAGTCGAGAGGCGCAAGGCGCGGGGTGGGGGCGGGAGGAGGAGGGGGCGGCGGGATTAGTCCCCAGCCGAACAGAAGCGCCGGGACCTGGAGGCGCTAGCCTCCCTCCGGCCGGGTCCTGCCTGCGCCCCTTTCGCCCGAGCAGCCGCTTTGTGCCTTTTAAAACAACATGCACCCGCGCTGGATCCAGACGTCGCCGAGGGGCTGCGGATTTTCCTCCTCTGGCCGCGTCGTCCTGCCCGCGAGAGACATCCCGGGCGATGTCAGGCGCCGTTGACGTTTTTGTTGCTCAAGTGACAAGTCCTGCAGCAATTAACATACCGAGTCCGCGCGGAACCCCCGTGCAGGCATGGGTCAGATTAGCTGAATCAGGCGGGGCCTCTGGCGGATTCTGGGCGCCCACGGCTTTGATGAGCCTGACCCGATGGAGGAGGCTTAGGAGTTTCTTTCGTGAGAGGTGGGGGAAGACAAAAACAGCCCCTCCCCTGCTTCTGCCGTTGACAGCCCCCCCCCCGGAATCCTAAATTCGCCCCTCGCAAACAGCGCTTCTCCAAATGGGTCCTTCGCGAGGATGTGGTTGTATTGCACAGCGTGCGAGGCTGCCAAAGGCTTAACACATTGAACACCCAGATTCGGGAAGGAGTAAATTTCATTGGTTTGCGTGGAATTTACATCCAGGTTCACGCGCTCAGGATGGCAACTTGCGTTGCTGTAAAACCGTGCTGGGGGCTTTTGTTTTGCTTGTGAAGTAGGAGACGAGTTTCTTTCCGCATTGGCCTTATCTCTTGTAAATTGGAAATCGATGAATCAATCCGTTTACTTTAGCTTATTCAGTATATTCTATATGCAGACTCTGTCAGGTACAGGGAAGTCTCTTCCCGCTTCTTTGGATGTTGCCTCAGCTTGAACAAATGCTTAACTTCCTAAAAGTTTCCCAGTTCTTGGATTCTGCCACAGAATGTGGATTCTGCCACATACCTTTGAGCATGTGCAGAGTGTCTTCCCCGATCAGCCATAGTTGTTTCCAGGCCAGAGGGTTTTCCACTAATCTTCAGCTGCGGTACCTTAGCTTTTTTAGGTGCTAAACACTGCCTAAGATCCTCTCCCCAATTATGTTTTCTGTTAAAATTATATGTACTGTGTGTACCGTGTGTATATATAAAAGATTATTGCGGATTTTTACGGCTGTAACCGGACCCTCATTGTAGAGCTGTGATTTAATTGGCGTGGCATTAAAGGGCTTTTGTTTGAAGAGGAGGGGGATTTGAAGTGGAGAAGGGGCTCTAGTTCGTTGAGTTGCAGGAACGAATAGACTACTAACACTGACCTCGTCAAGCTTGTATGTGCGTAAACTCTTTCACCTATAGCGCCATAGAAAGACGTAGTTAGGAAAACAACAACAACACATGGAATCCTTTAGCCGAATGTTGCAACAGTTCCCTGTTCGTATGGAGCGAAATGATTTGCATGGGGCTTAGTGGAAACGTGATATAGAAGTAATGCAAACCAAAAGTACTAGAAGTACTTCTTGTGGGGAGGCATTGTTTAAAGGCTGCCCCCCGCCCCCGCTAGTCATCTGTACTTTTTCTCGCTCAAAAAAGAAAGAGCGATCCTGATGAAAATACATGCGCACACACATACATACATACATTTCAGTGGATAAAACTGGCCTTTCAAACAGTTTCCCATTATGTGGCTGGTGTGAAGCGCCATCAACATTTCAAACCTCATTGTCTCCTTTGTAACAAATCCCTGTAAATCTTCTACTTGCCTTTACTCATTTTCATCTGAAAAGCCTGTTTGGTTTGAATAGACTGCAATAAGCAGCCTCTGTACCTCTCTGGAATGTCAATTAAAATGCAGATTTCTCTTCTCTCTCTCTGATCCACAGAAGACTTGGGGAAAAACAGGCTAGTCCCAGGGAAAAGCGAATGAAAGAAGTTCAGACAATGTAAAAAGAGTGATACTGCCAGGCTGTTTTTCCAAATAAGCCTTCAGAATAAATGTTTAGAAGCGGATTCCTTTGAAGATTGCCGCGTGAAGGGGAGACGGGCGCTCCTTCTGCAATCAGACCCAGTGTCCTGTCACTTAATTGTGATACGGCTAATTTTCTGTAAGCTGGCAGCGGGCATTGATTGGCACTCGCATAGATTTGGCTGTACTCTAAACGCCTAGAAAGGATTCTGAGGTCAGAGTATTGATCTGTAAGGCAAGGGGTCTCTAGAAATTACAGCTTCTCTGGGGAGCGATAAACATCGCCCGCAGAACAATGGGGCTAGATCAAAATGAACACTTAGGCTTGAACGTAATTACCCCTTGCTCTAGAACAAGTACGACTTGTGTGTGCGTATGTCTTTTAAAAAAAATGGAGCTACAGCTTGAAGGAATTTGGTATGGCTCCCAACCCAAGCTGTTTTTCCCATGCTTGTCACTTTGGCAAAGACATTTGGGCAGGTATGTGACGAGGTGAAAATTGACTTGATGAGCGGGTGGCAAGGCGAGCCATCCATCACGGGAGGCTGACAACTCCTCCCCAGTACAGGGCTGCTAAGAGAGACAGAGTTCCCTTTCAAGGGGAAAAAATAAACACTACGTGCGGCTTTCACTGAGCTTAAGACTCCAGGAGAGATTATGCTATTGTAGTCAGGAAGCCAGGATTGTGAAGGCCAGAAGGCATGCTGGGACTGTGTTCCAAACATTGAAATAGAGGTACATAATTACCCCGGGTAGGAGGTCCCTCCCTATAAGATCATCTAGCAGCAACTTTGGCAAAGGAGATGGGGAAAGCATTTGCTTCTGTTGTTCTTGTTGTGTTTCTCGTCCTGAGAGCTATCTGCTTTGAGAGGGATGGGTGGCAATCCATACATGTGGGACTAATGTTGCCCTGGAAGTGATAATAGTGAGAGTTAATACATTCAAAGAGCTTTCTGCTTTAGTTATTCAAGAGTAAGGGGTATGTTGCTTCCGGTCCCTTATGAGTAGGGGATGACTTTGCCCGTTTACCTAAGCAGCTTTACTTGTGGCAAGGTGTGCTGAGCGATGCTCATTCCGCCTTCATTAAAAGCGCTGCTTTCTCCCCAGTTGAAGGAAAGTCCATTTCCCCCATTTTAATGTCTATTCGACAGTGTGTGTTTCCATTCAGATAGGGTTGCAATTAATTTTTACCCTCACTTTGCCTGTGAGAAGGCATCCTGTTGTCTTGTGGAGGTGGAAAAGGGTTTGTACAATAAAATTATTGAGTTTGCCTGTAGGAGCAAAACTAGTATACTCCAGGACCTCAGTATACAGCTATGTAAGTTGCATTGATTTAAACACTGCTATTGAAGCTGCCATGTCCTTTTCTGGTGCTATATTTCATCAGTTTCCTTAATATGCCATATGAGGTTGACTCAGTCTCATTTTCCGGCCTCAAATTAATGAGTGTCCATGCAATGAAAGAACTGTGCTTTGGAGGCTTTATTTAAGTAACTGCCACACTGGTAAAGGGTTAAAACTAAACTATAAAATCATGATGCTTATAAATCATGAACTTCTGAATGCAGCATCCAAGAGTGAGTGGTGTATTAGAAAATCTAGACTGACTTTGATTGTGTAAGGTGAAAATTGATGGTGCCATTTCGGAAGGTTTGTGTCAAATCTTGGATCTGAAGCATCTTAACTATAACTATGTTTTCCTGATAGGAAAGTAGTGCAGCCTGCATGTCATATTTTTGTAAGCAAAATGCTTTATGTGCATATCCTTCCCATATAGACTTGCAGTCTGTGAAGCAGGTTAGGTTGACTTGACATGGAGAGAGAAATCATCATGGCTAAACATCAACTGTTTGGATAAGGATTGGACAGATTCCAAACCTACACAGAATAGAAGAAGATTCTTCAGTTGTGGACATGTTCAAAATATAAGCATGTAGAGCAGATATGAGAGCAGGAATAGTAAAAGGAATCTAAGTTTCTTTTACAACTGATAGGTGCCTCTGAAGATCTGCTGCTGACCACATGATAGATGGGCATAAATATCACAGGCACAGAATTTATCCATCCCCCGATGCCTGGATGCTTTCTTAACTGAACAACCAAGTGTGCATATGTGTGTGTTGGAAGTGGGCATACAGTTATTACATTACTTCATGCAGGTGAATGGTGTTCCCATCCAAGCAAGCAGACTTCACAATAGCTGTTGCTTGGATGTATTTCAGGATAAGTACATTTCTCTGGTACTGTGCTTTATCAGAATAACGCTGCTTCTGCCCCTGTACACTCAAGCTGCCCTCTGTACCCATTTACCTAGGCACAAGTCCCACTGAACTCAGAGAAAACTCTCTGGAGCCGAGCTTTCAAAGCGCTTCACCTATATTGTCTCAAATAACCCTTAAAGTTCTCCTGTAAGTTAGGCCAGGATCATCATCTCCATATTACAGGTTGGGGACTGAGTGGATAGTGGCTTGCATAAGACCAAGAGTGAATGCTACATACGGAATGCAGTTTGGATGAAGGAACAAATTTACTTGCTCCTCTTCTGCCTCTCCTTTACTCCACTTATGCTATGTATGGCTATTTGTCACATCTTCTTTTCCTTGTCTTGCCCGGTTTAGGTTGTAAACCTTCTAGGCAGGGTCTCTAGTCCTTGTATGGTCTGCACAGAACCTAACGTATGACTGTTGAGCAATAATAGTTACAGACGTCAGTGAGACTAATCCAGAGTTCCCGATTTCAGGACTACTAACTGTATATACAAAAGTGCATTGCAGTCCACAAATCACATACTCCTGAACGTGCAGTCTTTTAATCACTTTCTCTAGAATAGAATGATCCAGAGTTAATTATTTGGAAGTTTGCAGATATAATTATGGGAAAGGGCACTTTGTTATATACTTCCAAACCAAGTAAGACTAGCTGTCCCTGAACTGAGCATGGGGTTGCCTTATCTTTATCTTGCATTGTCTGGATGCATGTACCTTGATAAAAAGAGCATGCTCTAATTGATTCTTGGCCTTCAGCCACACCAATCCATGGAAAGGATTTGTACATTGTAAAAACAGAATGTGGTAATTGTATAAAATGAAACATGATGGGTTTGCATATGTATACAATTACATTATTTTCTTAAAACAAATTTCATAGAGTCATTTGATTATAGTAGCTCCCTTAAGCAAAGGTCAGGCCTCCAGAAGTTCCTACACTGAAATGCATGCAGAAATCTTCATGTGTCATGGAGCCATGATTTTCCCATCTTCAGCTGGGAGACACTCTTCTAGTCTTTACTGCCCAGCTGCTGACACCTCCCCAGTCAAAAGAACCATTACTGCTGTGGTCATTTCCTTCATAGCCTGTCAATTTCCCAGGAAATCCTCATTTCCGATAGATGCAAAAGCAGAATTTCCATTTGTTAAAACTTGAAATAAAAAACCAGAATAAATATATAAGTAACACCCCTGCCCTCGGAACTATGCAGGTTTTCATAGAATGTTTAGTTCAATTATAATCTGTCAGTGACTTGCAAATTCAATAACATGGCCAACTTAGACACACTTACTCATTAGAAAACCCCACCAAATATAGTGGGATTTCTTTTCAAGTAAACATACATAGGATTGCTTTGTACAAATAGAATAAATATTTTCAGATGTTGGATATAGCTCTTCAAAGCTGAGAATAGGTTATGACTTTAAAATTGATGCTATGTTACAGAATATTGCAGAGTTATATTTGAACGACACTCTATCTCTTTTTAATTAATGCTTTAGAATTAAAGCTGTGTATTGTTGATCACTGTGTGGTAGAATATAATGTATGACTTTAACTTTTAGATTGAAAACTGGAATATCTTGCATAACTGCCTTGAAAAAAAAGCACAGTAAGCCAAAAATGTTCTTAGCATTTAAATTAGCTATGTAATTGCATGTTGCTGCTACTTAGCACTTATTAAATGTAAGCAATTAAAAGTACCAAGTAGATCTTACTTTTTATTTTGTTTGTTTTACAACATCTCTGGAGGCATTTCATTTTACAGACAGGGAACTAAGGCTGACAGAGAAGCTAACTTGTCTAAGCTCATGTAGTAGACTTGTTCAGAAATGAGGAATGGCACGCAGTACAGCTCTCCCTGGAGTGTATCAATTCAGGTTGTGGGTGCATAATTACACGTTCTACCATTTTAAAACAGCACCTCCTTTTAGGAGGAAGCACATTAGAGAAAAAGGCCAAGCTCAGGGCTGCTTCTTTGGAGGGCTGAGCAGGGAAACTGCCTTTTGTGTCAAATTCTGGGGGCAACCAATGAGTCCCTGAAGGTCGTGCTGCAGCAACAGGCTTATGTGGTCCATGCCAGTGTGGAGGGCACCTGGGAGCTGTGGCATTTGGTTTCTCCTTGGTGCAGCAGTACAGTCAGACTACAGGAGCACTGAGCTGAGAATGACTCACAGGGAAGGACCCTTTGGTTTGTACAAGGCAATCAGGCAATGGCTGTAGAGAAGAGGGAGGAGGAGGAGGAGGCTGGCCAGGGAGATGGAGAGATGGGAAGAAAAAGAGAATAAGGAGGTGGCCAGAGGGCCATCACTGGGAATGGAATGGAGCATGGAGGCAGCATGGAGGAGGAAGTCAGTGGGTACCAGAGAGGGAGATGTTGGTGAAGGCAGGAGCTGTGGGAGGAAGATGGTGGTGACGGTGGTGGCTGAGGTTGCTCCCAGGGCAGGCAAGAAGAAAGAGAGGGTGGCAACATGTCTGTCTGTTGTGGCCAAAAATGGGTAGCAAAATAGGTTGAGATAGTCCTGCTTGCCTGAAATTATTTTCAGCATCACTCTTGCTTTCTGCTTTATCAACTGTGCAAACAACACCTGCACTGAACTATTAAAGTCCAGTAGGGTCCCATATGTTATTTTTGCTGCTCTAAATTGGCTGTATAAGTCAAAATGGTAGGCCTTGAATATATGTGCCCAGATCCCGTGGGTCCTCATATAAGTTTTATAGCAAGAACGTACTTTAGTATTTGACAACTTTATCCATATTTCTTCAGCTTTAGATGATCACATTTTTAAAGTGAAGCTGAACCTTAACTATTGTTTAATCTACTGCATTCTCTGATAGACTGAAGCATTAATAAAAGTATCTCAGTAAATGCCAAGCCAGTTGTGCTCAGAATTTCCTTATATGTTGTCTTTTTTGCTTTCCCTTTTATCCTTCACATGGGCGTGCACTCCAGGTCCTAGCTGGCTTATTGCTTTTGCATCTAATGATGGTTTTGCCTTAGTGAAAAAGCAAAGGAACGCCCATTGTTTGTTGATCTTGCCACTTAATCCTCCCTATGCAAAACTTATCTTGATAATTAGGGTATTCTCTGGAACAGAATGCAATACAGAGATCTTCTCTAGGCAGGAGAAGCATTGGTGAAAACTGAGTGCCCCAGATTGTGCCAGCAGAAACACATTTTCTTAAGAAAAAGCCACCATGGGATAAAGCCTTCTATGACCAAAGGAAACCCTTTACTTTGGGTCTTAACAAACATTGGAAGACTGGATTTGCATGAATTGATGATGAGAATGGATATGTGCTTTGGGAGGCTTTAAAACTGCAATGGATTCACAGAACGTCTTTCTCCATTTCCCTCAGGAGAATCCACGGCAACTGGAAGCAGGAAGGTACTTATTAAGGTTTAAGGTGCCGCTTTCAGTCCATGCTTGCCTAGAAGAGCTCAGATGGGATTAAAGTCCACATGGAGGTATGGAAGAGGATCAGGGACTAGCACTGAGAAGATGATCTGTTGGGATTCATGTTGCCTTATCTGCCTGGTGTTGATCACCATGGCTGGATTTTCAATGGCTCGGCCATCATACAATTTAGTAGGTGAAGGAACTACTTCAAAACCTGTAGGTAAGTTACAGTTTTTGTTCAGTTTTCTTTTTAACAGAATCTGAAATTTTGAAGGAAGTTAAAGCACTGCATAAATAACTATGTACAGCCACCACATTTTCTGCAAGAGAAAACATATTTTTGTGAAATGTATGTTGTTACCATTGATGTTGCTCTAATAGTTGTAAGAAAGAGATGATAATTGTAAGTATATCCAAGTGTACACCTAGGGTAGTAGACCCAGTTATGGGCATAGTATAAGATGATGTAACAGCCCGAGATGAAGCAGTGTACAACTGCTAAGAAATTTTCGATTGTTTGATATAACTCCCCAAAGGCCAGTATCTGCAATGACTACTGCATGTCATTGCTTTCAAACATGCAACTACAGGCTTCCAATTTTTAAAAAAGCTCAGCCATGTAATAAGGAGACATGTACAGTTTTGGAAACCAGAGAGCTTGATTATTAGTTCAACAACTTAAGCTTACAAATCAAGTATTTTGTTTGATCTAAGCTTTGATTTCTGGAAGTTCTTCTTTATATGCTCAACCTTAAACCAGGAGATCAGTAACACTAAAATAAAGGTTATCTGGTGCTCACACTGGGGTATCTACCTTCAAACAAAGCCAAGCTTTTCATCTCTGTCATTTTTGAAGAAGAATATGGGGTTTCTAAACCATCATGATTAAGAGTTATTTGTTGAACTTCCCACACTATTTCATATCAATGCCTTTTTTGTATGAAAACTGCTTTTCTTCTTTAGGAAAAAATCAATTTAGTTTTGGTCATTTGTTCATATTATACTTGGCTGCAGTTAGTTTATTTGAAAGTGCACAGCTCAAAATGGCCACAAAAATTCCATTTTAATACCACTCATAGTTAAAGTGGAGTGAATTTTAGCTGTCTTGTGAGCCAAATGCAGCCCACATAATAATAATATGTCAGTTTATTTGACAGAGCAATGTCATTTTACTGGACTTTTAGCTTTCAATGTAGTAGAATCTCTTTCTGTTCATTCCTTTCCTGAGCATTATATCTGCACATCACCCTTCCTAATCCTGAAGAATTTGTTCTTGGTTTCCTATTCTGGTGTCACAAAGCCATGAAGGTGTCATGCCAAGATTTATTGTGACCAGCTTACTAATTTATGCCTGCTCACTTAAATACCCACTACCTTAAAAGAAAGCAATGTTGTGCTTTATGTGAAGAATGTGATAGTGCTGTGGAGGTTTGCTGGTGCTGCCACCAGCATTTGGGAAGCTGCCTCCAAACCCCGCGAATACTGAGTAGATGGCTTTCTTTTTGCACCATAGAGCAGGTGTGTTGCAAACACAGGACAGAAAGGAAGGCAGTCCTTGTCGGATTACAAAATGGGCCACACTTGTCCCATGGGTTGCAAATGATCTTTCTTTCTGTACTTACTATTTGGTTCCTGCTAGTTTCCTAGCCTGTCTCCCTTACTGTTTCAAAGCCAACAACCTTGCAGTGTGTTCAGTATAAGGGTATGCTAAAATCCAAGCAAAATCTGCAAGCCTGTTCATGCCAAAGAAAACATGGAGTACTGACAGTGCTTTATATTGCTCTAATGCTTTGTATAAATGAGGGGGCTTTTTTTACGGTCATGATGATTTTGAGCTGACATTTTGAGCTGATGTTTATTTAGGGACACATGCTGATTCCCAAGTTCCTCAGATGACAGTGTTTACGGAATGTTAAATGTTTTTTATTACATAGTATGTATTGTAAGAAAGATTTTTTATTTATTTATTGTTCTCCCCAGTATACAGTTCTCTCCCCTGGTGCTCTCCTGCCACTTTCCATGTCTCACAGTAAGGGGGCTAGTGAGTGTTAATATAGTTTTAGTTATTTTGTACCATAACAAGGTAACACTTGAATATTAACTGAACTGTCAAAACCATCTTGTCAGGATAATGCTTGTGAAACATGTCTTCTCCCAGATGCTTGGTTCAGCAGTTCTGGCCTCTGTATTTCATAGGATAACATGAATTGTGCTTTTCTACCCATGCTTGACTGACTTTTTTTTGCTTACTCATTTGTATATAAAATTAAGCTTTCCCAGATGCGTAGAATGCATTCTCAGAGTTACTTACACTGAAGATTGTGTTGAATTATGCATTTCCAGGGAGGGAGGAAAAACAAGCATTAATGAAACATAGTGATAGTGCAATCTGCATTCAGTTGAGATGACAGAGAAGAGGTTCATGAGGGAGAACACTGGTTTGTGTAGTTGCTCTGTAACTCCACTTTTCAGCCACAACAGTCTTCCAAAACAATGTGCAAAGATTACTAAGAGGATCGTCCCTGCCCTTGGGCGTATGATCTAAAAGGCCAGATGGTAAAGGAGAAGGGATTGTGAGAGACTGGAGGGGGGGAGTGAGCACAACTGAGGCACCCGTTCTTAGTTACAAAGCATGAAATGAATATGAAATTAATGTAATAAGACGTTAAAAGCGGTAGTTCCTCATTACAATTCTGAGTCATTCACCTGCCTCTTGCTTGGGAACATAGGAAACTGCATTATGAGGCATCCGACCAGTGGCCCATCTGGTCCAGCATGGTGCAGTCTGACTTGCAGTGGCTCTCCAGGATTTCAGACGCAGCCTTTCCCAGCTGTGTGCGGAAATTCAAGAATCTTGCGCACACAAACATGTGCTCTGCCAGTGATCTATGGCTGCCAGTGATCTATCTTTCCTAGGGATACCTGCGGCTTGCTGCCTCAGAAATGTGTTAAAACTCCAGATCCTGCTGCTTTTTAGGGCAGCAGAATGTATAGTGGGACCTCATTTCTGTTCCCCACATCTCTTCATGTAGGGAGCGGTACAGTGTACTTAATTACTGTGCTGTACGTTTTCCCACCAGTGGCAGAAAAGAATGTAGACTAGAATAACAGAGGAAAAAGAACAACGGAACTCATATGACATTTGTGGGGTGGGAGGAAGGTATCTGGCAGTGTTACAATACCTTTTGGGATGGGGGCATTTGGTGGGCAGGTTATGAGGCAGTTACTTGGTAATTGGGGAGAAAAGCAGCCTCCTTCAATCTAGATTCACGGAATTCACCAAGTGTCCATGATTTTTGCTGCAACCCCAAAGGCTAGCAGCCTGCTACATATGCCTTTTAAAGAAACTTCAGGGTCTTCTTCCCGTCTTTGCTTGCTTGTTCTTTTTTTGAAAGGTACCATGGCATTCTGGACATATACTGTGATTTGCTGTAGGACTCTTCCCGAGTTGATTCTGAAAATCCCAGTCATTGGCTCAAAGTTGCAAACAGTTTTGTACAGCACAACGCAGAACATTGCAAGGAAAAAGCCATTTCTAGGGTTGCTACAGTAGTTTTAGGGAAAGTTTATTTCCTAATTAGCCCTTTAAAGAGGGTTTGCTTTAAAGTTTTAAATCACCTTGCCTCTGGAATGGATATCCACTTTACAGAATCTGGATCTTATCGGGATATGGCATTATTGGAAGGGGAAAAAAAAACATTTTTTCCCCTGAGGCAGAAGTTTTGTTTACATGCATGAAATAGTGTCAGATGTGAGAACACTGAGAAATGACTAGCCAAGAGAAAACAGGCTTATAAAGCTAATGACATAGTGAGAGCTTTTATGTGGTAGAAAAGATGGAGACATATGAGATTATGATGTTTTGTGAAAAGTGATTTTTAATAAGCTGCCTTTGCAAATATTACTTTTTCATTTTAGTATCAGTGCTCACTTTACTTTTCAAAGGTACATACTGCAGAAACATATTATCTTCTCTGTGGAGGCTGAAAGACCCCTCTGCATTCACCTAAACCTTATTAGTTCAATCAAGATTAGGATTTAAGGCCTGGTGTGACTTTTATTTGGTTATTAAGGCATACATGGATATGTCAGTTTCAAAATACCATGGGTAGCCCAGTCAAGAATCCAAGGAACTGGAGTTTTGGCACTAGCTGTCAAAACTGCATGCTCCCATAAAAGGAGGTGACTTCCACTTTTCCAAGAACAAGGGTCTAAGGAAAGTGTGAGGAACCTGGCAAGAGTAAGGCTCAAAGTCCCCAGGAAGATTTTGCCACGAAGGCTGTGATCTACTGGTCACTGCATCTGTGACCAAAGATCATTTGGTTTCTCTTGACAGTTAGCCTTTTAACAGCTGTTTTTGCACCTTCTCTGGGTCAATGACATGGACATCACCCAAGTGAGGCATGCTATTTCAGACCCATATTGATGCTCACCCATGCACTTGCTTAAGTCTGACTAAAATCTTAATTTTTAAAAATGCACAAAAAGTTGCACACATTTCTTATGTTAAACTTTTTTAAAGGATGACAAGCCAACGAAACCTTCTTTAATGCCTTGGTCAGTTTGAAGGGGCTGTCAGTGCCTGTCAACTCACAGACTGAGAAAAACGATCTCTGAAAAAAAAATGAGGGAAGGAGGGAAAAAAGCTGTGCTAAAAGGAGAGGAGGACTGATAAGATGGGTCCTGCTGTTCAATCCCATGGGAAGAATGAGGGAGAAGGAGACAAAACAAGCCACAGTGAACCTGATTGTCTGTTGGATGCACCAGGGTTTTTTGAAGAACCCACAGTGAGTTGTGATATGCAAACTCACTATGTTCAAATAGGTTTATTTCTGAGAAAGCATGCAGTGGTTTTCTGCCCAAAAGGGTAGAATTTAAATCAGATTGAATGGGAGCAAACCTCATCAAATACATTGACATTCTTTGAAGATTATTCTTTTTTGAAGAAGAAATTTTTGAAAATGCAAAGAAATAGTATGTTGCTTTGTATTTTAAAAGTGACTTTCAATTAATATTATTGATGTATCATTTAGATATATTAATACTGAACTCTTAATATAGCATCTTAATTAACTGACGGGGCAGTTCTGTGTCTTTCTTCCACTGTCTGAATCACAAGAATCTTTGGAGCCCCAGTTTCAGGATCATACCTTGTTGGAGCTGGAACTCTGAGGGCTGAGTGTCCCCCCCCCCCCCCCCCCCTTGCAGCCATGTGGAAAG